TTTAAAAAATATATAATCATAACTAAAGTTGACAAAAAATAATATCCCTGAGGCTTTTTTTTCACAAATTCTAAAAAAATCTCAAAAATACATCTAGGAGTGGATCGATAGAATGGGTTAAGAAAAGTACCTTTCCAGGCACTTTGCCCAAGCTAGAAACTGTGATCATTAATTATCTTTTCAAACTAACCCAACGGGACCCATTACCCATAGTCATGCGCTAGGGCTCATGTTTGGCCCATCAAAGCTGGCCAATAAATAATGGAACCATGATTCCAATATTTGGATTATAGGTTCTCCCTCTAGAGCAAGTCAGATGCACATATCATTGTATTGCAAAGGGGATCCTGTATATGCACATGTACATGTGTCCCTCTACAGGGTTGCTTTGTCGTATGTACATGTTGTACGGAAGTTTATTGAAGATTTATGACCCTCGCTCTCATAAGCCTACAACTGCACATGAGAGACCACGAAGTTCTTTTGGCCTATAAATTATCCTTGTACATGTCTCCGACTTCAACAAGGGATGACCCTCTAGAAACCCTCAACGGTAGTGCCTATACCCAAAGGAAAGGGTTGGATGTGACTCAGGCCATAGACTGCCTAATAACCCTCAGTCAACCAATGATACACTCCTACTGAAGTGTACAATTCAGTACATTTATTGTATTTACATGCTCTCACAGGCTTTAAAGGCCACAAACCCCTACAAAAACTACTGAAAATTAAGTAGAATTTAATTAACAAAAGCCTCTTCTAGGTTATGCCTTTTATAGTCCTATTAAGGGAGTTACAAGAAGTACGTAAATAACTCCTCTAACTTCCACCATGACACAATGTGCACTACACCACTACAACATGGGTGGTCGGAATCCTACTTGGTAACTGCCGTGCACTTCCTGTGAAACTAACAACGTATGCGATAAAATAAAAGAAATTTGTCACAAATAGATAATTTTCAATTATTAAACATTTTACCCTTTATCTACCATCCCAACTCAAAATCATTTATTTTGACGAGTATATTGAAATATAATCAGAACATATGGGTAAAATGTTAAATAGTTAATAGCGTAGGTGCCTAAAATAAAACCAAAAAGAATAATGACGATCCCTAATTATAGACTAGGTCCATAAAGCGCATAATCGGTCTACCTGATGCAAAGTAAGTGTTCAACGAGAGATCATCTCATTTGAGGCTCCAATATCTATTCATCATGATGAACAAGGCAGCGGTTCTGATCCAATAGCTATGGATAGACAGAGGTGTTGTCAGACTACCACATTAGATAGTGGTCAGAAGTTGCCCTAAAGTAAAACTCTAGGCAGGAGCTCAAGAAAGAAAACCAACATAACTTGATAACATGTAGGTCTGCTAGGTTGATTTACTAGGCGAGGGTCACAGCCCCTAAAAGCTTTGGTTAACCATTAACCAAAGATTTTTTTTAAGAAATCTCTAGGTAAACTCTTTAAACCTAGAGAAAGAGTCCCCTGAAAGTTCAAGAGGACCATAAAGGGTAGAAATCTCTGAAAAACGTGGTGCACTTTTTGAACCTAGTGGAGGAACCTGCAATCTGGTTTCCACTATTTTGTGTCTAATTGTGGTGGATACGAACTCTATAAAGTGTATCATGCCTAATATTGGCTACATCATCATTATTTTAGCCTTTTTCCAATTAATTTGGGTCGGCTACATGAATCTTGGTTCTTCATTCTGCTCTGTTAAAGGCCATATGCTTAGTGAGGCCATAGGTCCCCATATCTTTTCGGACTACTTCCAACCACGTCCTTTTGGGCCTATCCCTAGCCCTTTTCAGCCTTTCCATTCAAACTATCTCGCACCTCCTAACAGGTGTTGTACTTGGTCGGTGCTGTACATGGCCAACCCACCTAAGTCTACTCTCTCTCATTGTATCACCTATTGGTGCCACGCCTAAATTCTCTCTAATAGATTCATTTCGAATTTATTTCCTTCTTGTCTTGCCACTCATCCATCTCAGCATCCTCATCTCCGCTACACTCATTTTATGGGTATATTGTTTTTGTCCTCTCAACATTCCACCCCATAGAGGAAAGCTGGTCTCACCGTTGTCCTATAGAACTTACCCTTCAGCCTCATTGGTATGCGACGATCACATAAAATTCCAGTTGCACATTTCCACTTCGCCCACCTTGCTCTAATTATGTGTGCAACATCTTCCTTGATCTCTCATTTTTCTTGGATTATCTCCACTTAACCCAAGATATCAAGAGTGTGGTCTTTTTTTCTATTGGGTGCGGCTTGTATAGAGCCTAGGTTCTGAACATTCAAATTAGAGCCCACCTTCAAACAGTGTCGAGAAATGCAGTTTCAATACTGGAAGTATTTGTGACAGCCTTAAAATATATTTTCATCTTTATGTATAAATTTTAAAGCTTCAAAAATAGTGTAGATCGACAGATCTATGAAAAATTGAAAATCTTGAAAAAATTGACGATCCAAAAATGCGTTACAAAATACACTATTTTGAAAACTTGAAATCCATTTTTTTCTCATGTCCATGCATCTTGATGTCAAGATGATCAATTTGAGGATATTTGGGCATCAAAACAACATCTTCTAGTGAAAGTTTTGAGGTAGGCTCAAATTTGATTGTTTAGAGCCTCGGCTCTATATAAACTCTTCCCTTTTCTATTTCCTGCCGTTAATCTTGACTACTTCATCGTCTTTACTCCTATTATTGCTAAACTTGCACTCCATAGACTTTGTTTTAGTCCGACTAATTTTAAAACCTTTGGTTTCTGGAGATCTATTGTCACTGAAAACTCACTCGTCTCTCCACTAGTTGTTCGTATACTAGTTCTATCATACATATCTCTCACCAAGTCGGTGTAATGTTTAGCGACGTCTTTCTTTTTCAACATCCACTAAATCAAATCTCGAAATACTCTATAATAAGCTTTCTCTAGATCAATAAAGACCATGTGGAGGTCTTTTCCCTTCACTCAAAACCTTCTCAATCAGTTGCCTAAGTAGGAAAATAGCCTCTGTTGTTGACCTTCCTGACATAAAACCAAATTGGTTTTCATATACACTCGTTTCATGCCTTAGTCGTTGCTCAATGACTCTCTCCCAGAGCTTCGTAGTATGGCTCATAAGCTTGATCCCGCAATAGTTTTCACAATTCTTTATGTCACTTTTGTTTTTGTAAATTGGTACTACAATACTTTTCTTCTATTCGTTGCATTTTCTTAATTCTCAACACCTTGTTGAACAATTTCATCAGCCAGTCGATGCCAATTTCCCCCATGCACTTCCGAACCTCTATCGCGATACCATGTGGTCCTAAAACCTTTCCTATCTTCATCTTTTTCATAGCTTCTTTCACTTTCGACATCCTAATCCTATGAATGTATCTATGACTTCCGCTGTTGCATGTACCAACTGTTCCTTCTACCACTATGTTCCCATTGTGTTTGTCATTTAATAATTTTTTAAAATAGACTCTCCACCTTTCGTTGACCTCGTCATCCTTCATCGAGACCCTTTGATCTTCACTCTTAATGCAGTAATATAATTTAGATTCCTATACTTTTCGCTCTTATTTTTGCTAATTTGAAGATATCCTTTTCATCTTCTCATGTTCCCAATTTATTGTATAGATTATCATATACCTTAAGTTTAGCTTTATTGACTATTTATTTAGCATTTTTCTTAGCATTTTTATATTCTTCTAAGTTTTGAGCGTTTCTTTTACACTGCCAAGTTTATAACATAATCATTTTTCGCTAATGGCCTTCTGAACCTCATCATTCCACCATGAAGTTTCTGTATCAAAGTTTCTTTTCCCTCTAGATTCTCCTACAACTTCTTGTGCCACTTTCTTGATACATCCAGCCATCTCATTCCATATTAGATTAACATCATGTTCAGAGTTCTATTTTCCTTCTTCAACTTATGTATCCCTAAATAAGTCTATTTTCTCAGTTTTTAAGTTCCACAATCTAGTTCTTGGACACCCATTACTTTCAGCCCTTCTCCTCCATGTCTTTATACAGATGTCCATGACCACGAGCCCATGTTGGTTAGTCAAACTGTCTCCTGGGACAACCTTGCAGGAGTTGGGATCCGTATGATTAAAGAAAAGATGGGATCCATCATTCTAAGCCATGGCTTCATATGATTAAAACAAAAAGAAAAAAGACTGATGGGATCCATCATTGTAAGCCATGGCTCCTTTGGCCTCGTGGTACATGGCCATGCAGGCTATGGGACTCAGCATTCATGACTATAGACTGTGACCCCCCTTGCCTCAAGAATATGGGCATGGTGTCCATGTTACTTGGGTCTTTCTCTGTAAGCAACATGGAACCCGAGACTTTTTTCAATAGAAAAATCATTATAGAAATCTTAATCCTCTCCCTTGGTCATGGCATTTCTTTTATGGATGCGCATGGTTGATGGACAAACTTGATCCAAATCACTTTGTGGTGGACTCTCAACCATGGAGATCCAACCTTCGTCCCCCTCTTCCCAGTGTTCTTATTTAATAAAAGATGAGAGAGTAGCAACCTCAAGATATGTTATCAAGAATTAACTTTTCTTAAAGGTCTCAGCAACAGGCACATAACTAATTAGGAAAATGGCTGGAGCAATTTTACGTTCCTAACCTTCAAACCATGCTGCACAAATAAATAACATTTTATGGTTTAATGATGACTAAAAACTGATATACTGACAAACTGCCATGGTGGGACACACTACACACTTGCCCTTAATACGAATGTGCCACTCTCTTAACCATGTTCTGCTCATGCATGGACCACATATGAAACAAGAGTGGTTTCTCCTCTCTAATGCTAGTGAGGTTTTTTTAACTTGATTTTTTTTCTTGTTTTATGATCTTCTACATGATTTTTTCAAATCTTTTTCAGGCGCTTCCTTGGTAGATACTTCTGACAATTATCCAGGTTGCTTGATTAGTGTAGTCCATTTACATATGCATATTATGCTTCAGGTCTCCCATGGAGCTATTCAGTTTACTGCTTATGAAGAAGCTTGCAAAATTTTGATCAAAATTAAAAGTACCAGGGAGAAGCATGATCACTCCAATGATGACAGGTTATTGGTATGGTTTCTCTCACTGTACTTTATCATTTTTGTATTATAATGATATTTGAAGTGCTGGATTGTTCTCGTATTTTAGCCAAGAATGTTTTTGTTTAGGCATCACTTCATCTGAACTGAAAACTCGTTTTCTGCTTGGTACAAAAACAGTAGCATAAGTATTTACTTTTAAGTAACTGTATTGGTACTTCATCTTGCTAAATGTGTTTTTACGAGTCATGAACAATTCTGCAGTCAATGTACTTGTGTGTACTTGTGTCAGTGCAGCAGAATGTAAAAAGTGTGTGACAGGAATGAGATCTACATCTCCAGAACAGCCTTATTCTAGATCCAGAAATGACAAGTCCTTTTATCCAATCTTCATTTACTGAATTGTCAGAGAGAAGCATGAGTACAGAGAAGCATGAGTAGAGAAAAGCATGAGTTTTTGCTTTATCTTTGAAGAACATACCACTGAACTCGACCCCTCTCCCACCATTCCCATCGACCCCATTACAAAGAAATAACTTCTGCCCCTTCCTTTCATCTTGTTTCATACATGTGACAATTTCAGGACGTGAACCACCCAAATATTTCGAGGAATAATTGTAATGTCCTTGATATATTTGAAACAGCCCAGTCACCTATCAGTTATAAATAAGATTGTCTTTATCTTTGTTGCAAACAAGTCATCTTTGTTTTATTGACTGATCATCACATCCCAAATCCATTACAACTATGGCATACTTAAGGAACAAGCAGTCATAAATGGTCCAAAATATGCTTCTTTTTATGATGTTCACAAATGGTTCTTTATTAAGATGTTTCATTTCCTTTTAATCATGAGTTTCGAGGACTTATTATTTAAGGTGTGATGAAACTATTAGCTTTTCTCGCTGTTGAATTCATGACACAAGTGTGCCTTGGATAAGTTTCTATTTCGTTTGATATACAGGGTAGATGACATATAATCTAGATTTCACCCATCGAAGGAAGGATCTGTTTGCTCCAAACTTGGGCTAACCCTTGTGCATAATGGAATGAAACTGTTGACATTAACATTTAACTCAGGGTTTTAAAAATTGGAAACTGCTGAATTGATCTTTCATTGGACCAATCAGGATTGGCTAAATTGGCAATACAAATGAAAATAAAAAATGGTAAAAGGAAAAATATGAAAAACGGAAAATGAAGGAAAAAATTATCTGAATCTGGTTTAATCTGTTTAAAATGATTTTGAATCCATTAAATTTGGTTTATACAATTGAAAGTCATATTATTAAAATGATTTAAAACATGTTTCTGCCGGTTTAATGATTTAAATCTGGTTTATCCGAAACGAAGGAAGAAAAAAAATTAAAAAGGCTAAAAAGGAATGGGGAACAAATTTCAATTGTTGGTGTTTATACAGTTTTCACTATCACCCTATTCCTGAAAGTTCGACAACACCTCCCCTTATTTGGGATAGTGTCAGAAGACTAATACCGGAACACTCTTAATACAAGTCGGACTCCCATAGGAATCGGAGCAGGTTTCAGAGGTTATATCCAAGAATAAAAAAATTTCTTAGTACCAGTTGGACTCCTATAGGAATCGAAGCAGGTTTCAGAGGGAATATAGAGTGACAGTGTATGTCTGGTCTCGCCGATGTCGATACATCCGGTGGACATAAACTCCCAAATAATTGCGACCAAAATTAGGGGATCTGGAGGCACGAGATACTCTCGTTTTCTTCACAGTGTTAAACGGGTCCCGACAAGTACACTCCCAGGATACAGCCAGATCGGAATGTAATTCCTAAGTTCTTGAGTTGCACACTCATGAGACCCATACAAAACCACAGTCTCAAAAATACTGATTTATCTTTCCAATCAGTATGATACTACAAACATTAATTGGAAACATACTTCTCTCTCTCGTACTACTCTCTTACTACAAAATTTATCATCCAATCCGTATACTACAATGAAACATTGATTGGGAACATCTCTCTCTCCAAAGAACTAGTCTTCCAATCGGTAATATAACGACACTTTAACATTGATTGGAAAATAGAAGCATAGATATATCGCACACAGTAAAATAAAAGACTTCTATAACAGTAATTATTACCTGAAAAGTGTGAGAACAAAGCTTCAAAACATTTTATTTCTCTCTTCAAACTTCTGTTATTTAGTTTAATACGAAGCACACAAGAAATTTTCACAAGGGACAGAGTACAGAGTAGAGACCTCACTGGTGTCTCTCTTACTTGAGAGAGAGAGAGTAAACGCTTTCTATTTTTTGTACCTCATTGGTTTCATTAAAAGCTTAAAGCCTCATCCATTCTTTCGTACATCTCACCCCCTTCTCTCTCTCAACCAAAGCCCTTTTAAATGGGGTAAACATTATCTTAATAGCACATTTGAGAAGTGACAAGATGAGCGAGAGCAAGAGAAGCACGTGGGGAGTGAAATGCCATGTTGCTGGGTACGTGGCAACAACAAGGAGAGGGAAGAGGTGTGTGATGTAAGCATGAGGTAAGCAACATAAAATGTTCATTAATGGTGTGGGAGTTAAAGTGTAAAAGAGAGGAGGTCAAAAGATGCTGGTCCAAAGGGTCCATCCTATAAAAATGGACTACCTAAGAATTTTTGAAACATATTTTAGCAAAAAGCTAACAATCCCCCACATGTTTCAAAATAACAAGGCCTCTATCTCCAAACATATCAGGAAAGACGATTGCATAAGTGAAAATATCTTATAGACTTGAACCTCCACATAGTGTTATTGGGAACGCTTACAAAGACAATGAGTGGACACACCTTGAACTATGTCCCGTATTGATAAGCCTTCCACATACCATACATTCTCTTTAAAAATAACTATGGTTTTCTAAGAGGCTTGCGCATTAAAGGCCCTACGCCAATCCTTTTTTTATGAGAGCTCTAGGGAATGTCCCATCCATGGAAGATGTCCTACAGTGCGCAGCCTAGGCCTTACATCATCAAGGCAAATGGAACCATTAAGAGCAAAGCTCAACCTCTCGATTCATTGTAGTAAATTGTACCACATAGCCAGGGATGGGGCAAAAGTTTTATAAATTTTCATAATATAGAATTTTGTGGTATCCACATCCATCAGACATCAGACGAGCGACTTGTTTTTCCCTTTGAACCTTGGACTTGGGATCTCCTTAACCTAGGTAGGGTTCCTATCGCCTTGTGGCATAATACATATGGGCTCAATCCCATTCCTCTGGCTTTCTTCCAGACATGCAAGGTCTTTTATTAATATTCTATCGAGTCCTGGGCAGAACTGATATGGAGTACTACTGTGACTGCATCCTTAAGCAAAAGTCTCAACTGACTGTGCCTCAAGCAAGTATAATTCGATTTGTCGAAATAAATTCCTAACCATTCGCTTGGTATATATATCCTTCACCGTCACACTGAATGAGACTGCAAGCATGGGCTTTGAGCAAGTGGTACATCTACCATCAAGTCTTAGCCTCTTACCCTCCTCATTATGGGTTCCAAGGCAATTTTCTCCAATCATTTGGAGATACAAGTCTACCTCTTGGAATCCCAAAAATACACCCCCACCACAAGTGGATACATCTGAAAGTGATAAATTCATTAGAATCCAGAAATCATTATGTAGGTCATGGTCTATAGTTCCTTACAAATATCTTAGGACCTTACAGACCGCATCCCAATGCTCTTAACCTGGGTTACTGGTTTATCTATCCAGTTGACCCACAACAAAGGGTACCCACAACAAAGGGTAACCATAAATCTCATACAAAACATGCCTACTGAGGCATAAATCCAAGACTTACAAAATATCTCCGAATTTCATGGGCATAAGACAAATTTAAAAAACAAGGACCTCACCGGATGTGAATTTTAATTCGAATGTCCCTTGCCAATTACCTTGGCAGAGATGGGGTAGTCCTTTTATAGGACAATGTCTTCCCCACCATCCCTATAGGTCCCAAAACAAGCTTAAATTTTGAAAACATGTCTTGTGACACTTCAGTCCACCCCCTACTACACTGTCATCGGAGATAATAACAAACTATATTCATCAGCCACTTAAGGGTAAGGCCTTTGCTTCTTTCAAAGCCTGCAGAAAATCTGCGCGTGACCAGATCAACCATAAAATCAACAAATACATGGCTAGTGGGCAGACACCGTTGGTCTTTACATTACACACTTTTCAATTTTTTAAGAAATTGGAACCTCTGTTGCCATCTTAAATGATGTAACTGGGACCAAAATCAGGGGGGAGGCACAAGATACTCTCTCTTTTTTCGAAGTGTTAAACGCCCCCTTCTCAGTATAATTCTGAGTGTAAACGGGTACCAATGAGTACACTCCTAAGATTGAGAGAGAGAGGGAGATTAAAAAAAAAAACAGATTGATTCAAATAAAAAACAGATTGATTCAAAAACAATTCCAATCAATCCGAAATTTGTTTTTGAAATTTGAATGAAAACAAAGTTATTCAAGTAAAAATCATATATCAAAGCCCCGAACCCTAGTTTCCTGCAATAGATCAAATTTTAAATGAATGATCTGTTTATTTCAGCCAAATATCTTGGGCTATTATAGATTTATCTAAGAGGAGGAATTTGTTTGATTTAATGTGGTTAAAAAATGAGGAAGAAATGAACCATATATTGTTTCTAGTTGTATAGTTGGGCCAAGTGTTGATATAATCTTCTCTATCATTGGGGTTTTAACCAAATAAATGCTCTTGCAAATCTTGTAGAGGGTTCAAAAATGAAGATTCTGGCCTGCAAATGATTTAGAAATGAGTGGATCATGCTGATTCCCAATGCGTAAGGGAATTTACACAGATACCCGGTGATTCTGATTGGGATTGGCAATCCTTGATCTAGATTGGCAATTTTTAAAACACAAAGAATATCATTTCCCCCAAAAAGGAGAAAAAACAATTTCTTTGTTATGATATTTTTTTCTTGAAGATTTTGCAGATGTGTATGCATACAGTAGTGTAAAAGCCTATTCCCACTATGTTTGGCATGTTTTACTTTTCATGCATGGGAAATGGTCTCTATCTCCACACCAAGTAATGTTTTCTCTTAGTAAACTTTGAAATACTAAATCCTTAGATATATTGATGATTCAAAATGGTGTTGGTCTTGGATACCTCAGAAACATATTTCAAAATACAAACGTGTGTAGAGCTGTATCTGTGAATCCTATCTTTAAATCCGCCTTTTTCCAAGCTGAAGTATTGTTTGATATGCAACTTCACTAAAATAAAAAAAGGAAAAGAATTTATTACCTTTATATTAGCCCATGTGGAATATTAGTTGAATTAGCAAATAGATATGAAATTTGTTCAGTGAAATTGCAGAGAAATATCGAATAGTTAATCTTTCACAGAGCGAACAGAGAAAGGAAACTCAAATTCCTCGAAGTCCATTGTGTACCAAATACAAAATTGTCTTCAAAGGGTTCTAATACCAGATCCATGCTTTGAATAAACTGGAAAGGAATTCTCATCCTTGAATATGCTAGACTTGGTTATTCAAGAGTGAACGGAAGATGTTTTTAATAGTTGCAGATTGGAATGTGCAGCAAACACAGAAACAGGTATGTCCTTCAAATTACATGTTTTTACGCTGAAATTTGGTTAAGCATAAACTATACTTAGAAGTCTTCGAGGGAGCCAACAATCGCTGAAATTTGAAGTTCCTTAGTCCCCAAACAGATTGCTCAAGGACTGTCATTTTTTTCATAATCTGCAATTCCCTGTAGCAGTAAAAATCGACTTCAAGTTCAGGAAGAGAAAATGGCTTGAATGCCACCTAACAATCCTGAGTTACTTCCTAGGGATTCAGATCCACACAGAGGAAGGTTTGAGGCATAGCCTATTGTTTACACGCGATTATGAGACTGACCAAACTAATCAAAGTCCAATCCATTTGAGATAGTATCCAAACTTAATAATTAAGAGTGGAAAGAGGTGGGTCCTGTCAAATTCAGATCTACAAAGAAATTAGTTGGAAAAGACTCATTCCTCGCAAATCTGTGGCTGAGCTGGCTTAGATAGCAGGAAATATGAAAACAAATGAAAACAAGAGGAGCAAAAATAAAGAGGAAATAAGCGATGGAGATCTATTAAAGAAGTCAAGACGAACAATAATGGAAATAAAGACAAATAATAAAGAGAAGCAAATGATAAAGAAAATAAAATAGAAAAGAAAGACAACCTGGAAGGCCGGGCCCTTAGGCCCAGCACACAGAGTTGGGCCCAGATCAAATGGCCAAGATGAAGTCCTTACTACTTGATCTTCAAGATTACAGATCCAATTGAATGAATTGAACTCTAGGGAAAGAGGATGCCCAGGAATTTTACATTTGGGGCCTTTAATTGATTGAAAATAGGTAGTTTTAATGTCTGAAGTTGGCTAGAGCAGGGTCCTAGAACTAGGGTTTAAATGAACTATAGCTAGGGTTAAGGGTTTTATGGATTACAATTGGGCTTTGGATCTAGGAGGTAGGGTTTCATACTATGAATAGCCCAAAAATCAGCTGGAAAAGGCTACAATTATGGAGAAAAATCATATAAAACAACGTGACGTTCCCGAACAAATTGGAGGCCAACAAATGGCAGCATGCACCACAGTACTGGATTACTCTTTCATCTGCCGCAGTCTTCGACGTTGACAGCCAAATAGATCTAGCTTACGCAGATTTTCTCGAGATTTCGATTCTGGAGATAGTTTCTTGACATTTATGATAAAAAATATTTGATTTGACAGATCTTTAAGTATTTTCTAATGGGCAAGCTTTCTATGTTTCCCCTACAGCATAAAACTTATATACTTCCCCTTATCCAACCGTCCATTCTGAATGGAGGGCTAAGATTGCCCCAATCACAATGTCTTGTCTTTACACTATTTTATTTTTAATTTTTTTTATAAACTATTTTGACATCATATTTTGGACGTTCAATCCTCTATTAAACTCGCACTAGCGAAAAATATAAAAAAATATTTTCAATAAAATAAAATGACCAAAATACCCTTGAAAGTTTCAAGGGGTATTTTGGTCATTACATTGTATCGAAAATTTATTTTTAATATTTTTATAGGTGCACCCCAATGAGAAGATAAAATTTCATATTCATACAATTTGTATAAAAAAAGCTAAAAATAAAATACTTTGAGACGTCGGATCTAAGATCAAACGGTGAGTGGCTCTCTTGATCAAAATTGGATGGCTGGATGGTAGGGAAGCATAGATCTTCTATGCTGTAGGGGAAGTATAGAAACCTTTCCCTTTTTTAACTAAACTATGTTGGAGCTTGCCTATTTTGGGTGATTTGGTTTCTCAAGTCTGAATTCTAAAGATATTTTAGGATTATTTAGTTTCTTGAAATGGGATATTTAGGGTATTTGGAATATCTAAAGAATATTTTAAGCTGGACTATGGTTCTGTGTGTCCTACGTTGTACTGGTTTGGTTTGCTCCAAGATTTTAGAATTCAAAAATAAATTCGGAAGGGTTTTCTACACCTATTGTGACTTAAGGTATACTTCGCTTCCCAGTGATAACCGAATATGGTGAACCCGGTCTTTATGAGTAGACCCCAAGATACAACCCTCCTAGATTTGATTCCAAAGGCTAAAAGTGTAGGTTCACCAAAACACTATTCATACTTCTAAGAAGTCCCTATCCATCCTTGAATCCGTGGGGCACTTGTCCCATCTGATTCCATGTATAAAGGCATGTGCCTTTTAGGTCTCATCCAAGAGACGTGTGTTGTCCCATGTCTCAGCTAGGAGAGATGTGCCGTCTCCTCCCATAACTCAATTAGGAGAGATGTATACTCCCATGTCTCAACCAAGAGACGTGTCCTTCCATGTCTCAACCAAGGGACAGGTGGCCTGTCTTTCAGATCCATTCACTGATTTAGGGAAAAAGGTGTGTTTTTAATGGATTTGCACTAGGTAATTAAAATTCATCCTCCTGGCTACCTAGGCAGGCCAAGGAGCTACACGAATCGAATGGGCCCTAGGAGGGTCCCTATTTGGATGTGTACTAGGACACCCACGTAGGTGACCTAGGGTGCTTAGGACTCTCAGATCCTTTCCCTGCATAGGCAAGTAATTAAGAACACTCATGTCCTCTCTCCATAATTGGCTGGATATTAGTTTTACAGAGCCACCTGGCTTATTCTCTAATCAAGTATTTCTAGTCATGCAAGGCCCTGGCAACTCCATACGAATATGGACAAAAATTGAGGTCCTTAGGTCTTAAATACAATTGACTTGGGGAAATTATAATTTTTTCTTTTTTTGGTTACAACTTGTCGCAACTCAAAATACACTTTAAGAACTGTAAAATAGTTGAGAAAGACATACCTAAGATGCGCATATTTCTTAAATCAACATTAGATTATAATACCGTGTGTAATATGACAACAAATGTACCCTCAAAACATAAACATGCATTTGTATACACGTGCAATCTCTCGGAAACGTGTATGTTACTGAATGTATACTATCATTATTTTGCATATTTCATAAATTTACTTCAATCATAAAGCCAAAGTTTACTATTTAAAGAATCAGCATGTTGATCTAGCTCTTCATTGCAACCATGATGGTGGCTAATTTACTCTAGAAAATTTCATGATAGGATATGATTAGATCCAAAAAATAAAGAAAATCAAATGAAACAATTGATGTATATATACATAAATAGTGTAACAAAGGGTTATTTTCTCTTGAGTACCATATGGCATGTGACCATGGTTCTAATTACCAAGGGATATATGGCACTCGATTCTATTGTGTCATATGGATGGTTGAAGTCCAGATACCAGAATGTTCCTATGTGGTATCTTGAAGTGGATAGGTGTCCTATTCAAGGAAACCGACTTTTTTTTTTTTAGGTCTTCAAGGAAACCCGTTAATCCTAGTTTGAGCAAATTTCCCAAGCATGTGTCAGATGCCCATCTTTAGGAATTCGAATATCGATCCTGGGCATTGCCATTCTCAGTGTGTGTTGATAACATCATTTCAAATGTCTTGTTGTATCCGTTATTTGATGATGTAGCTTCATGAGCACTTCCCTATTAAAGATCTTGGGTGCTAGAATTTTTCGTCATTGAAATTTCTTGGTTCAGAAAGCAACTTTTCATTGTATTGGAAACTAAAATTTTTCACACACCATAAATGCTAGAAGAAATTTAGCTTATTTTGGAGATTGTTTCTGAAAGCCATTTAACGAGATATTTCTCTGTCACCATCTGTACTATCCAAATCTTCATTAAGAAAGTACTTTGGAGGCTTATTGCGACATCTGATTATTCATATGAATGATTCCATGAAAGGTGATTGGGGAAAGAAAGCGCATGAATCCTCAAGTTGATTCATCAAACAAAGTTTAGGTTGTATCTCCCACTAACATGGAAGATGGACTATGGCTTCTGATAATGCTTGGAGACATGGCCTTCATCATAACCATCTCTCTCTAATCATGAGAGTACTTCATGAACTATATCCCCCCAAGGAAATGATAATAGTACTTTTGTACCTGTGGTGATATATAACAACATGCAGTCTTCATAATAGTCATGGAAATGCTCATTTTTGTAGAACTCTGTTGATTATGCTGTGCTGGGGGCCTCCTCCAAAATTGTCGCTATTCTGCTGACATATCCCTTTCAGGTAAGCCCCTCTTTTTCTGTGCCACAGTAGTTGTTCCTGCATTCACTTTTAAATGGAGCCCATGTTAATGAAACAATGTTGACTTTCATATTTCATTGTTTTCAGGTCATTCGTTCACGTCTTCAGGTGTTGATTGTTTCTCTCTCTCTCTCTCTCTCTCTCTCTCTCTCTCCACGAGAATTCTGATGGCATTGGTGGTGTGTTGCAGCAAAGACCAAGTACACACACATTGCCAAGATACAGAGATGCTTGGCATGTCTTGAAAGAGACTGCGAGGTATGACTCTGTTACTTGAAGATACCTTTTATTCTCTCTCGTTCTTATTTCCAAATTCTTCTGGCAGGTTTGAGGGGATTAATGGTTTCTACAGGGGCATAACATCCAATCTACTGAAGAACATCCCTGCTGCTTCTATTACATTTGTTGTCTATGAAAATGTCCTACGGTTATTAAGAATGACGAATAAGAATGTGAACAACTGATGTTCCTTTTTCATTTTTACTTCATTTGCAAGAACTTTATGCAAGCATTGTCCTTGTGCCCAGATTGCTATGCTGATTGTTTGAATTAATTGCCGTCTCAAAGATGTACTCCTTGGTGTTCACTTGTGAATTACTTCCTATTTCACTGGATTTATACTAGGAAAAGTTAGTGGTGAGGGAGTGGCTTACGAATGAGTTTTACCATATCAAATAACCTCTGTTGTAAATGGGAAGTGGCACACTGCCTCCAGAAGGCAATAAATTTTCAGCATACTGTTTGTTATAATTATGGTTTGCTGTGCCAAATCAATGTTACTAGAATCTTTTTAGAAGCTATTTGGTGTAGTTGTGGAAGTGCTTCAGCCAATTCACAGGAAGTTCACAGATCATTTGTACTTTAATAATTAAAAATATACAAAAGTATAGAAATATAAAAAACTTTTAAAAAAATGCACAACGTAAAATTTGCCATACGTCGAAAAGCCCAATTCGCAGTAAGGTAGAAGGATTGCAATGAAAAACCAGATTTTGGCTCATGAATCACCTTGAGAAAAACCTCTAAGAACCAACCAAGAACTCCTTCGAGAGAGAGAGAGAGCCTATGAGAGGGAGTGAGAGAGTCCCACCCCCGCAGGGATGATCTCCACAAATGGTTAGGGGGAAGCAGAGGTTAAATGGTATTTCTCAAAGCGAATTATTTTTTTTTCCAATTTTTTTTTTTTTGGCCTTTTAACAAACAATGGTTTATTTTAATAATTTTTTAGCTATGTTGGGGCAATTCTTTCCCTTTTTATTTTTCATTGAAGTTGCCCTGAATAAATTATAAAAGATCAACTTGTGACATTTGGTCAAACGAAGCCGAAGGTAAATGTGACCTGAATCAGAAGAAGCCCAAGTAACCCGAAGCAAATATTTCAATATTGGATTCGGTTCAGTTTGGGTGTAAAAGCCAAAGACTCTATCCTCTTCAATGAAGCAAAGTGAATATCTTCAATGTTGTCTGATTCTTTTCTACTTCCCCAAACCAGCTGAAGCCTTTGGCTTTTGGCCCTAAACCGACACAAAGCAAATCACTCCCTTATCAAATGAATATATCAATAAAAGTTTGAACAGCCAAAAAATATAGAAAATTTCGACTTCATAATATTCATAATTTTGTAAGATATGGCATCACATTAAAAAATTTACAAAAGTACCAATGTATTAAGTTTTTTTTTTCAATTTTAAAGTACAGCATACACCGTAGGGTCTAAAACTAATAATCACTATAGGAACCCTGAAACCTAGAAAAAAAAAGAAAGGAATATGCAATTAAAAAAAAGGTGTGGTTTGCAAAGCGTATCTTCAAATAATATCGAGAAATGTGGTATCCATATTGGAAATATTTTTGGTAGCCTTAAAATATATTTTCATTTATAATTATAAAATTTAAAGCTTCAAAAATAGTGTAGACCGATAAGATCTATAAAAATCTTGAAAATTGACGGTCTAAAACTACATTATATATAAGATGCACTATTTCTAAAACTTGAAATCCATTTTTTTCTATGTCTATGCATCTTGATGTGGAGATGATCAATTTGAAAATATTCGTACATCAAAAGAAAAATTTTTTGAGGTGGGTTTTAATTTGATTGTTTAGAATCTCACTATATAAACTTTAGCCTGCTGGTCTGCCGAATAAATGGAAGTACTCGCTCACAAACTTTGTATCAAATTGTTTTATCTATCTCCTTGAATGTATTTGAGAAGTTTCTAGAAATGTTTCATGTCGGTTTGTACATGATTTGACAGATTTTGATAAAGAAATCATGATTGCTCCTGAAATTCTGACGACAAACTAAAAAGTGCCCTTCTTGAAGAGTGCAAATGGTCTGCTATTTTCCTCTAGCCTCTTCGAGTCCCTAATTCTTGAGCCTTCAACTGTAGCGTGAATTTCCAAATTCCAAAGAGCCTTCAATTAGCCATAGTTAGACTCTCATCAGCATCGACACAAATGGACTAGTCCCCTAAATCCTTTTAATAGGTCGTCTGGATATTGGCATTTCTAAATCCTTTTAACAAGTCGTTTGGATATTGAAACACACAAAACCACATTTTCCATCAAATAATGGGTAATGGACTTTTTTTTTTTTTTTGGGGGGGAAATTTATGTCTGTATCGAACTTTAAAACCGTTATATAACGAAAGGCTTCAAAATAGGTTGTTACTACTCGAAACGAAGGGCTCCCATAATTTTTTTTGCCAAATTTACTTCCGGTCTCATTTCATATTTCGAAGTTGCTCGATGTTTCAAAAATCAGACCAATAGAGTATTTCTTTTTTTTTTTCTTTTTTTAGTGAACACTTTTTTTTATTGTACAAAAATAGCGTTTAGTGGGAATTTTGAATCCGCTCAATCTCTCCTTGCACCCTCTCTCTCTTCACTCTTTTTCTCTCTCTACTCTCTCTATCTTCTTATCTCTCTCCCGGCATCTCCTCTCAATTCACTGTCTCTTGCCCTCCTATCTATTTGGACGTTGCCTTTTTTCATTGGCCTTCAATTTCTAGTGTTTTCTACTAGGGTTTCGTATTTGGACATAGCAAAAACATTGAAGTTGGCAAAAAAAGATTTATGAGATACACAAAATGAATTTAAATTTCATGTGTAAATTTTTATCCATTCTAAAAAAGCCAGAGCTCTAAGGATTTCTTATTTGTGTTTGCTTAATTTTTCTATTTAATATAAAATTTCTAAATTTATTACTTATGGAGTGCATTAAGTATATGAAACTACAATTTCATATCTTTCATGCTAATCCTTATACCTAGATGCCCATTTTATGGCTTATTAAATCGATTGAATGAATGTCTCTGTTTCATGCTACCGTCTTAGGGTCATCGCCACATCCTGGGCCATATAACCCCAGGCGGTGAGGCCACCCAACAAGTCAGGGATCTGAATGACCAATTAGTTTCTCTTTACCACATTTTTAATGCTTGAATTGCACTTAGTTTTCACTTACCCTTCCCATATGACCATATAGATCCCCTATACATCATATAGATCTAACCAAATCCAATCATATTACCAAATATTTTCTCATATCAAATTTTTTTTTTTTTGATGAATCAATATTTTCTCATACCATCATGTCAGATATGAACCATCACTTGACATTATTCTACTGTGGCTTTCAATCTGTGTCTTGTGCCATTGGGCAAGACGAGTCCTTTATTAGTAAAGTTGGATTCTAGACTATTTCCAAACATTGTGTTTTCCTTCAAATAGTTGTGAAAAATCATTTTGTTTTCCTTCAAATAGTAGAGAAATGATTTCATGTTAATATAATGAAACCATATTTCGAGAAAACTATGTTTGTTGCACTTATATGACTTCAAATTTTGTACTCATTATTTTTATCCTAATAATCAATCCTAAAAAAATAAAATTCAATTTCCACTCTAGATATGGTCAAAATAAATAAATAAATAAATATAGAGAGAGAGAGAAATGATCCTATAGGACCCTCCGCCACCCATGTGTGTATGACCCCAAATGATCACCATTCAATTTGGTACGGATCTATACAAAAGTCAAATCCTACACTTATGTGATAACGTTTCTAGAGATCCGTATCAACTTTAATGGTGATCCTTTGAGGTTCTACACACATGGTGGGGGAAGGTCCTATAGGATCATTATATATATATAGGGAAAAGGTTATATGAGGTTGCAACGTTGAAATGTAGAATCACAGATGTACCTAAAAAAATTATATCGGAATGGTTGTTTTAATGTTGAAAAACCTTATAATTGATCATCTCGACATCGAGATGTATGGATATTAAAATAAAAAAATGTTTTTGAGTCCAAAAAATAGTGCATTTTGGACCGTCCATTTTCAAGATTTTCCTATGTTTATAGATCTACTTGATTTTACCTATTTTTTTAGTTTACAATTTTCTAATTAGGTATGAAAATAGTTTTAAGATAATCCTAAAAAACTTTTACAATAAAATAACATGTATTGATAAAATTTGGAGGCGTGCCTTAATTGGATTGTTTAAGGTTGCAACATTATAAAAACCGCACCCATATATATATATATATATATATATATATATATATATTAGTAGTAGATTTATATTATGTTAGTAATATAATACAACCACATTCTAGAAACAAAAGTTTATATATAGCTAAGGCTCTAAATACTTAAATTAAAGTCCTCTTCAAAAATTTTACTAGAAGAGGTTATTTTGATGAATATCATCAAATTGGTCATCTCGACATCAAGATGCATGGACACGAGAAAAAAATGGATTTGGGTTTTGAAAATAGTGCATCTTATATAGAACGTAATTTTGGACCGTCAATTTTCAATTTTTTATAGATCTGCTTTATCTACGCTATTTTTGACGCTTTAAATTTTAGAATTAAATATGAAAATATATTTTAAGACTATCACAAAGATTTCTAATATTGAAACCACATTTCTCGAGATTATTTAAAGGTGTGTTTTACTTTAATTGTTTAGCGCCTCGACTCTATACAAACAGCCCCTCTTCTAGAAAAGCTTTGTTTGTGGCATTTGTATGACCTAAAAAACGTTATCCCAATAATCAATCCCTAAAAAATATATATTTCAATTTACACCATAGATATGTTCAAAATGAGTCCCCTCTAATAATGAATCTAGACCATTCATTTAGTGAGTTTCAAGATCTAGACATTGATGAATTGACAAACTCAAAATCATTTTTTCTTTTTCTACATTGTTCATCTAATGATAGTAAAGCTATCTAAGAAATTTGAAAAAAGAAAAAAATCATTTTTAACACCTAGATGTAAATATCTCTCTAAAATAAACAAGTTATATTAATTGGGATAAAAAAAACACTTTCTAGATTGTATTTTCAATTTTTGCTTCTGTTTTTTTTTTAAATTGTTCATTGTAATTAAAATATAATATATTTAATCATTGCGTCAAGGCCCTAACTTGACTTTTGGAAATTGTTTCATTATATTAATATGCAACTATTGCATGAATCACTCCCACATATATATACTCCACAATTGCGGGTTCCAAGCCGCTCATGCCGATCCCAAGCTCATATAAAGGAGGAGGGTTGTGTAAGG